CTTAAGCATCGGAGAGTCTACTCTCTGGAGACATCCGAGGCTCTGTCTTGCAGGTTTTAGGCCGTCTGCCGCCGCCTAGATCATCATCACCGCCCGTCTAAGGCAACGTGCAGATCCATGCTTCGTCAAGTGGCACGCCTGGTGGGACCGATTTGTTTGGTCTTCACAACCAAATAAATTTCTTAGCGAAGTACGGAATGTTTTGTATCTTTGGGCAGCCACGGTGTTAATTCGTTGCTCCGATTTTGCAACTAGAAGATCACGTTAAAAATTTTCTTTGTTTGGCTAAGAAGACGTCAACCGACAAGTAGCACAAAGAACCTTTCGGTTGCACAAAGAATTCGAGGAGCCGCAGTTGCTCCATAGCTGATCGAGAAGAACAGCCCCTCGAGTTCAAAATCCGTCAAAAGGGACAGAATATTCAGCCGAGAGTAATTCCTCAATTTGAGAATTACAATCAATCCCTAATAATTGTAATTATTTGGTCCCCAAAGATTTTAAAATTTTGCAGATTAGCAAGGGACAATCTCAAAGATTGGTGTTTCGAGAGATACATCTCCTTGAAGGGGCTGGTATCCCTCGAGCAATACACTACTACTCGAAGTGTTCGAGAAGACGTTTCTCGACTTTCAAAATACCTTCTCAGAATTGAGGTAACACCTTCTCGAATAATTAATTTATCTCTCGAGACTGAGGTATTTCTCATACCTTTTCATTTTATGCTTCTCGAATCTAAATTCATATACTACTAATATCATTATTCTCCTAACAAATATATAATTATATTGTATTGCCTTTCTTGAGTGAAATTGCATATCAATGAAAGACCCTTTAGATGAACACCAGGTTTAAATAAGACCTGCTTGACGGGCACGACCCATAAAGACCTGATAGACGGGCAACGGCCAAATAAGACCTACTAGATGGGCAGAGCCACAAGACCTGCACGACAGGCACTATAGGCTTCTCACCTTCAAATAAGAAAATACAGACTTCTCACTTTCAAATAAGAGAATCTAGGCGCCATCCTCCTAATTCGACATACACAGACTTCCCCCTCCTAATCAGGAACTCACGAATACAAAGACCTCCTCCAGGTACTTTATTCTCTTTATCTTATATAGGTGACACCCGAAAACGAAAGAGTTCGACAACTGGGGCAACACCACGAGAAGACATCAACACTAGTAGCAAACCATATCCTTCTCATCAAGTCTCAAGAATATGGCTTGCTAGGGGCACTTGAGGAGTCCAAAATAAATCCTAGGCCTATTGGGCCTAGGATTAGGTTACTTGGAGATTAAGCCACCGCCTAAACCTATTCGGCTAGGGTTTCAGGAAACATGTAACATCATCTCTATATAAAGAGGTGGTGCCTCTGCCATAATTCATATCTTCTACCTATCTTCTACACCTTCTACACACGATACACATCCATTTCTCTATTCTCTCTATTCTATTATTAACTTAAGTATCGGAGAGTCTACCCTCGGGAGACACCCGAGGCTCTGTCTTGCTAGTTTTAGGCCGTCTCCCGCTACCTAGATCATCATCGCCGTCCGTCCTAAGGCACCGTACAGATCCATGCTTCGTCACTATTTTTAATACAACTAGAATTACTCCTGTGCGGGATTGTATTAGATATATGGTGCAATATTGCATAATTTTTTTTGGGTGTAAGTGAAACCATTACTGTCGCAACACAATATAATTTGTATTGAGTTTTGCCATGTAATAATTCTTGACCTTGTTGTGTTCTTTGAAATTACATCTATGTTTCTTACAAGTTTTATATTCAATATTTAAGTTAATCTAGATTTTAAAGAATTCATAATATTATGACTCATTGATGGTATAATTTTTGAAATAATAATTGATAATTCACAATTTTTTGAAAAATAATTTCAGTAAAATCACTATAGATTTTAGTGAACTCAACAACAACAACAACAAGTCTTTTTCCCACTAGGTGGGGTCGGCTATTTTATTGAACTCGGAATAAAAAAATGTTTAAGTTAATATAAATTTTAAAGGTTAAAATATCTTTTTTATGTTTAAATCAAACCTTTATTAACTCTTTATACTTTATACTACTAAATTTTAAAACTTAAAATGTAATCCAACATGAAAAGACAACAAAAATGAAAATTTAAAGAGTAAAAATATGAATAATTTTTAACAAAATTATTGTTCAAAGTTATCATTAGTTAAAGGTTGTCTAAATATATTTCTTACAGATACCATTAATTATATTGATACCCAAGTACTGAAAGAAACATACTTGAGAGTTGAGACACAATCGGTTGGGCTATGTGGGTGATAAATCTATTATTAATTAATGAATAGGTTAAATAGTAAACTTAAATTAACTAATTTACAAAACTTTTTTACACTTTGATGAAGGATGATTCTCGTAACGACAAGTGGCACAAATAACTGTAGACTTTCCTACTACACAACACGCGTCGATTGAAAACTCTCGTGTAATATATAAATATAGATAGATTTGTAATTAACAAAGAGAACTATTCTTGTGAAGGAGAGCATTTCACAACTATTTTGTTCAACCCACAATTTCTTGTTTGGATTTTAACATACTGTATTTGGTACCTTTTCATTAATATCATAAATCTACTGGTACCTTTTCATTAATATCATAAATCTACTGTCGGCGGTAGATGTTCTCAAATTTGTATAAAAAAAAAAAAAACTCCAATCTATTACTTTCTGAAGTTTTAAAATGATGATTATGTTTAAACTAAAAAAAAAAGTTTAAACGGAGTAATTATTTTTGACGGAGGGTGAACAAGACTACGATTTGAAAACATTTCCCGCCGCAGGACATAATAGACACGGTTCTGTGATTAATGTAAACATATATATTTTTTCGAATGCGATATTAACTAGCTTATTAAAGCTGTACTTACCCCAGATAAAAACAAATTATTGACGTTTTAGTAGTTTGTCATCACAATCAATAACAACGTACGTGGAAGATCTACCTTCACCAGAAGAAACAAAAACTAGGAGAGGACCAAATTATTGTATATTTTGCATTTGGTGCAAATCACATGTCATTGATTAATTTAATCGACCTATTTCTTGACCTTATTAGTTACCCACAGATTTCAACAATAGAATAAGTTAAAATTTCATATCAATGAGTAATTTATTTGTACTATACACTAACCTTTGATTTCACATCTTAGACTTATCGAAGACGGTTTACCTGTTGTTGTGGTTTGTACGCTATTATAGTTGGCGAAAAGTTATCATCTCTACAAAAGATTCTACTAACAACAACACATTCAATATATTCTCAACTTTATTGGAGTTTTAGGTGTCAAGATATCTGCCTTATCCCTGAAAAGACAAATCATCATAAATTATGGTGAACACCATATAGAGAATAAAAAGTTCGCCGACAAGTCATTTGTTCAGATTGCACCAATTTTAACTGGGAGGGGTTCAAACTAACATGAACATGTGTATCAATGTAGTAAAATGTTTTGAGAATTTTTACAAGGATTTAATCCAATATAAATCCACATTAGTCATGCAATATAAGTTTGAGAAACATTGTCATGAAATAATCAAGTTCACTGTTCACCTATTATGCTTAATCTATGGTGAATCTCTCGCAATAACTAATCAGCTCTATAGCCTTTCTCGTTCCAAACCACACACTAGACCCTAATACCCTATTTTTTGGGTGTTTTTTTTCCCCAATTAGTAACCTAATTAATTTAACTTGTAGTCTTTGATGACAGTACTACCGATTTCTTTAGTTCATATTTCTTTACTTTCCTTGAGGCTGTTTAGTCGTGTTCGGAGATTGCATTCAGGCTCCAGCTACGAAAACAATTCAATATTGAATTATATGTTACAAACAGCGGTACGAATGAGATATCAAGAGATCAATGTATAGGAGTAAATACTGGGTTAATCATGCTTACTTTTCTCCTCTTTCCCCCTCCTTTTTAAATTCAATAATTGACACGCATCTTTTTCACAAGCTTTTCTTATATTTTGAACTCTCTTATGATTTCAAACTCTTTATAATGTCAAGAGAAAGAATAAAAAAAAAAATACAAGAAAAAACTTCTAAACTGCTTTTTGATCAAGTTGAGATTTTTATTTTTAGTACAAACTGAACAATCATTTTAAGACAGAGTTATATGCAAAAGAGTACATAGACAATCAAGACTGATGAACAATTAGCAGGGGCGGACCTATTCAGAGGCTTGGAGGTGCTCCAGCACCTCCGGCCGCCGGAAATACACCTACCGGGAAAGTAGTTTTGGATCTGTTTCCGGATTTCTTCCTTTTGTGAGCCCTCCCAAAAAAGTTGGAAAATCCTTCTTGAAAAGTCATTTTGAAATTACAACTAATAATATGAATAAATATAGGGGTTAAACTATACAAGAATTGGTAGCCTTATTCGCCAGAAAAGAAATCTGAATAGCAGGGTTCAGGGGATACGAGGAAGAGAGATTCCCAATTACAATCTAATCCATTCTTTAAATTACCAATTAACCCTTTAAACATGTACCTATTTACTTTAGAGGTGGGGGCTATCTTGGGAAATCACCTATTTTTTAGTGATAGGTCCAACTTGGTGAGATATCAAGATTTTTTTTTTTTTACTTAATGATATCATGATTAGATATGGATACTTTCCTAGGTCGGCCTTCTTTCTTCTTTTTTTTTCGCCCTTGTAAATAAATATTAGGCATTATTTTTCCCCTAGAATACAAATAAATAGTAGTGCTGCAATTTATATATTTTTTTGTCTAAAAAATTAAGATGATTTAAGATCAGCAGCTTTCTATTTTTCTTGGAAAAAATTATTCCTTTCTCCCACTGTATAATCAATTTTTGAAACATATTTTAGTGAATATAATTATTGTTGTTGCTTGCCGGTAAGTATTATTCCTTCCAATCTTAATTATAAGGAACAAATTAATATTAAATCTAGTTTAATATATACTTTATAGTTAGGGAGAGGGAGTACCATATAAAAGCTTTTTTGGAAATAAAATTTTAATGAAAATGCATGCATTATTACATTTAATTCGTGCAAAAAAAAAAATCTATTTATAGTGGAGCACCTCCAGAGTTTTAGTCCTGGTTCCGCCCCTGACAATTAGCGTATCTTTTGGCAGCTATTTAATAATAATCTGGAGAGACTTGGAGCTGAAAATAGTTCATATTGTTGCCTTTTTGTGCCCGCTGAAGCATCAATAGCTCAAGAGCCCTGGCAGATTTCGCGGCCAATTCAGTGGTGTTTTCGAGGACTAACCATTGGAGGTTCGAGAAATGTTCGAGGCAGCGCGGAATCTCAAGAAGGTGTTGACAGTTTTTGAATTTAATCGTGATTAAAGACGGGAAATGATCTCCCGATGAAACCTCCCAGGTCATCAAATCTGTCCGGTCAATCTGCAAGTACTTCAGACATGGAAAGTCCCCCATGACACTTGTCCAAATCGGCCCTCGAAATGCATTGTCATTCAGCTTGAGAACCTCAAGGCGTATCAGCTTCCCAAGTTTGGACATCTCTTCCCATTTCAGCCGAGTGTTTGATAGAGTGAGTCGCGTTATTTGTTGCGGGAAGAATCTCTCCTCCCAAGGAAGGCTGTATGATTTGGGGTCTGATCCATCAACAACATTCAGTAGCTTCAAAATCCTCAGCTTGCTCAATTTGTTAAGATTGTCAAGCAGAGGTTTATCCCCGGGTGACCCGGCTTTGAAAAGCTCGGCTAACTTCCCACCAATAACCAATTTTTTGAGATTTGGAGTCTGATCAAACACATCCTGTGTACAACTTTCAGGGGCCAAGGTGGATAAGGTTTCAAGATTCTTGCCTACCAAAGCCTTCCCTTTCTTTTTCTGGTTTTTAGGATCCGTATTCAGCGCCATGTTGGTAGGAACATTGGTCCTTAAATGCTTCAAATTTGGCATCGCCAATCTACCTGAGTGGAGTTGAAGAGTGGGAGAGGTGGTTTTAATCACAAGCGTTTGCAGGTGCTCTAAGTTAGCTGTTGTTTCCCATGGAAGAGCTCCAAAGTCAGAGGATATTGCCATGTATTTTAAGAGAACCAGTTTGGAGAACTCATCCGAACAAGTCCCGGAAATGAGTGACTGAATCTCCAACACCCTAACGTTCTTGAACTTCTCCGGAATGGAAGACACAAGCTGCTGCGGCAATGCTGCCGGTTCTGCATCTGGAATGTAGTTATCCGGGATCGCTAAGAAAGAGCGAAGATGATCCGAGTGGTTGTACTTTAGATTATCATCAATGATCACCTTGTTGATGCAAAGGCGATAACAATGATCCAAATCTAAGCGGCCGGAATGCTTATTCACCAGCTGGTTGATTTCGTGAAAAAGTTGCTCTTCCCTTGCTTTAACCCGGCAAAACTCACGAAGCATTCTTTGGAGCCGAATAGTTTTTGCATTCCCATTTGACCTCCTTTTCTCGACAATCACTAAATTCTTACGAATGAGTTCTTTCAAGTACTTTTCGGCCTTATCCTCGACGGCTATATCATCATCTTCCTCTTCCTCTCTAATGAACCCTTCAGCTATCCACAATCGCAGCAATTTCCACACCTCAATCTCAAAGCCTTCCGGGAACACCCCGAGATAAATGTAACAATTCCTTAAGTCTTTTTCCAAGGTTAAGTATCTCTTGTTTATGGCTTCCTTTGTTTCTTTATCCCGGACAGGGTAATAACTCACGTTTGAATTAGCCACTTTTATCCACGGATCAGAATATTCCACCTCCCCAAGTTCCAGGAGAGCTTCTGCAACAGCCCCTATTGATAGCGGTAATCCATCACATTTTTCCGCAATCTGTGTAAACTCGGGCAAATTCTCCACCGATGAGCACTTCTTCTCGCCAAACACTTTCCAAGAAAGTAACTTCCGACAATCATTCAGTGGCAAAAGTTGCAACTCATAAATCCTTGAATTTGTACGCTCCGCCACTTGATTATGGCAAGTAGTTATAATGACTCTACAACCTTCTTTCTTGGGGAAACCACCTTTCAACCTATTCCAATCCCTTTCGTCCCAAACATCATCGAACACGATCACAAACCGTTCACTTCCCGACGCCAATGTATCACGAAGAAGCGTTTCAAGCCGATCTTCTGACATCTTACTCTGTTCATCAGTCACTGTTGTAAAACAGCTCAAGATTGTGAGGAACACTTTCTTCTTCTCAAATTCTTTCGAAACCCTGGCGAAGGCTCGAATCTTGTAATCAATCTCATTTAGCTCACGCAAAACCATCTTGGCTAGCGTAGTTTTCCCAATGCCTAACATCCCGACAATTGCAATTGGTTCGAAATCCTCCGACCCTCCTGTGATAAGTTTCTTCACATCTTTGACTGCATCTTCGAAACCTATGACATGGACCTCCTCTACGTTTCGAGGCTTTCGATGTCATTCCAAACACAAACACAAAAGGAAACAAACTCAGACTTCAAACTATTCAACAAAGAAGAAAATAGAAGATGAAAAAATTGAAGAAAAATTATATCTTGTTTCTCCCATTTATTTCAATTCAACACTTGGTCTCACTTTATCACAGACTAAGTTTTACATACTCCTGTGATTGTCACTTGTTACTAAAATAAACAATAATTCATTAATTTCAACTACTAATCTCACCCATTAATTGACTTATAACTCATTAGTCATTAATATAGAATTATTAGCCATGTTATTTAAAATAACCACTCAAACCATACTAATCAGTTTTTCTTAGTTTTTTGTATATGCCAAAATGAGTCTACTCATTTGAAAGAGAGACCTGTATAACAAAATCAAGGAGCACAAAATATTTCATATATTATGTACTGCACTAATTAAGATCTAGTTTAAAATTTTTGACTGAGCTCTTAAAATAAGTATAAAATCAAATTCATATCAACAAAATCAAGACTACTTTGAACAGATGCAAATAAAGTAAAAAATGAATCTCTTCACATAGATCTCTTTTGTAAAGCGCAGACAACATAAAGTCATAAATAAAACTGTAGAAATCTATCTGGGTTTAAGTAATTGACTGCAAATAAGACATTTCTCCCCCTGCATACCTCTGTTTTAGTCGCCGGTTGACCCTGTTGTGTAGCTGCTTGTTGTTTCAGAAATTGAATGCCATTAGGGATATCCTTCTCATTCAGATTCTTGATTTTGTCGAGGGTATCAGAGATCTTCAGCGCCTTTTTCCGAACACTTTTCCCGAAACTCAGCTTATCCAGAGCCTTGGACAAGAACCCTTTGCCCTGTTTGTGCCGTTTCACGAGGTCAACGTAAGAAGCAACACCCTTACTGGCTTCATCAACGGTTTCTCTTATTTGCTTCCTCAGTATTTTAAGGTAATCGCTGTCGTAATTATACTTTTGAAAATCCTGCATCAGCCCTTTCAGCTTCTCAACTTCGCCTTGAAGCGACTCACAATTGCCCTTCACATCGGCATATATATGATAGTTATATTCGAGTATCTGTGTAAGGTTGTCTAGCAGATAAGTGATCAGAGAATCTGGAACCACAGACATTTTCTTCGCCTCTCCGGTTGTTGGAAGAAACAGTAACAGGATGAATGAGTTGAAAAGAGAGCTATTCTTGTTTTCTTTTTTCTTTCTGGTTCCTAGCTACATGACATGTTTTGGAGAGTTTTGGTATTGGGCCATTCGTATGTGTTAAATTTGCAAAACTGACTTCCCTCAGAACAAAATACGTTTTCTACTCGTTTTCTTTCACTATTACTATTATTTAATTGGATCATATTATTATATTACAAGTTGTAATGAAACACATAATCTCCTGTCCCATAATTATTGTCCATTTTGGATCTTCATTTTTAGTATAATTTAAACTAAAACTGAAAATCCAAACTGAACAATAATTTTGGAATGGAGGGAGTAATATATTAATGTTAATTACAAAACAAAGTCGTTTTCATTGTTAATATGGGTAAACTATGACAAAGTCTCACCCTTTGGTCACTAAAAAAAATAAAATCCAAAAATGGTCACTAATGAACAATGGTAAAGAAAAAAATAAAAAACATTTTATCAACTTTCTCTGTTTTCGTTAAATTTTCTATTAAATCTAATGTCATTGATTGTCCAATTGTTTATTCCTTTATTTTCTAAATTTTAATAAAGGTTGAATTATATTTTACCTCCTGAGTTATGTCATTATAATAAAAACACCCAAAATTTTAGTAAATTGCAACTATCCCCCTAGACCTTGGTCAACCAACCGAACAAATATATTCTTCTACGAGTGGATATACTTATTTCATTACGTATACCACCCTTTATACTTTTGCATTTAAAATTTCAAACATATCATAATTTTTTTTTTTAAACTTTAGATTGACAAGGCAAAAAATTTTGTGTGAAAACAAAAATATGAGATTGACAATAAATATTTCATGAAACAAAATTATAAATATTACAAATCATGTAACACTTCTTTATAAACTACATTTGTTGTTATGTTACTCGTCTTGCCATCCTCACCACATATTAAAAATTTGAGTCCTTTTTTCTAGACGTAACTCTAGATAGTGCAACGTATAACTGATCATGGCTAAAAACTGGACGTGGTAAGTACAATCCAACTTATGAATGGGACTGTCCTTGACTTTTGTTAATCGTCATCGCAAAACAAATTGCAATTGAAAATTGTCTTCTCTTCATTTTGAATGGAAATTTTGTGTCGGAGGGACACAATGACATCCGAGGTATGTATACATCTTCTCCAATGTGACTTCCCGAGATAACTTTTGCTTCAATAACACATTGTCCGAATCTTAATATACGGAGCCTAATCCCGTTACACAATCCACCCCGTTGATCAACATTCCTTAATAGCATAACCGGTGCATCTTTTTTTAGCTTCAAATTATGTAAGGGTAATCCAGAACATTTTATGCTGTTTAGGAAATCAGGTGTAAACATTCCATCTTCAGTATTCACCCCACCTTCAGATGGGCATATGCTGTTTGAACTTAAGAACACAACTTCTTCTTCTGGTAAATTGTCCAACAGATGATCATTGATTGTGTCAGCATCATCATGTATTGGCGCAAGGATTGCTCTTTGTTGACGGTAATCTGGATCTTCCAAATTATTTAATACATCAGAGTAAACAGCATTAATCACTGCATTAATTGGATTGCCATCAGTTTTTATAAGCACATCTTCAGGTATTTCAATTTCAGCAACTACATCGTTCGGCTCAGCTATCTTCCCATTTCGATTGTATTTTTTTTTTTTCACTTTAGACGTAATAGCACTTTCCCATTTCGATTGTTTTGTCTATATTTAATTAAAAACATTCTTTTCTTCTTTTTGTTTTTCAATTTCATTTATCTATTCATTTTCTTTTGTATCTTTTTTTCATCAAGTTATTCTATATATTTTCTTCATTATTTCACTACCGTAACCCCCTAATCACACCAATTAATTCCAAATGTTTAAAAATTTCTATAAAATAATTATTCTATAAATTGTATTCATTTATCTATTTAGGATAATCAATTGAAGATGATGTTTAGGATAGCTGAAGGGCGATGTTTTTTTTAATTTTATTTTGGGATAATATCCATTTTTTTCTGGGTTTGATTTTAGGTGTTGGTGTTAGTGGACAACAGTGGTGGCGACTGGGTAGTGACGGTAGTGGAAAAGATGAAGAAAATCTATATAGAATAATTAATTTGATAAAAAAATAAAGAAAGAAAGAAAATTGATGGAAATTGAATAATTGGAAAAATAAAAAGAATAGAAGAGCAAGTTTTGATAAAATATGGACAAAAATAATTGGAATGAAAAAATGCTATCACCGCTAAAACTAAAAAGGAATTTAAATACTATTATTATATGTTTGAAATTTTAAATGAAAAATATAAAGGATGATATATGAAATAAATAGTTAGATCCACTTAGCTCTTTTTGATAATCACTTAATATAGTGATTTAATTTATTTAAGTAATTAATGAAATTAAGTGTGTTTGATAATTGATACTAAAAAATTCTAATGAATTAAGTTCTGAACTTATTAAGTACTTATAAATTAAATGCGTTTGATAACTAAAATTTCACTGTCTGAATTAATTAAGTGCGTCTGAATGGCTAGTTCAATTATGAGCCAGAAAATAAATGATAGGCCTATCACTTATCACTTAATTTCTGTGATGACTCTTTTTTTTCTTTTTTTTCCCCCGTCTTTATTTTGTCGCTTATTTTTACATCATTTTTAAAACTTTTATCTTCTTCAGATAAATTAATTAAGAGTGCTTAAAGTTAAATTTATATTATGTGTATAAAAGTTCTCAAACTTTTAAACTCAAATTAAACTAATTTTAGTACATGAAATTTGCTAAATAACAAGGTATACACATATATGAAATAATCTAAATTTAATTATATATTGATTATTTACCAAGTGTAACATCTACTTTGATTATATATACAAAAAATTATTTTAAAATTATTATTTAGAATAAAATATTAGTTATTATTCTATTTAAAAGAATTTTATTTATAATTCAATTTTAATGATATTAAAATTTTAAATAACTTTCAGACATGAGTATTCAGATTCAGTTTTCAGACTTCAGACTTCAGTCTTCAGACATCATATTCAAACGTTTTTATCATATAATGTAAATTCAGTTTTCAGACTTCAGACTTCAGTGTTAAGTGTTAAGTATTCAGATTCAGACTTCAGTGATTATGAAACAGACCCAGTTAAGTTGACCAAGAATCTAAGGAGGGGTAATTGTAATATTATCAAAACTTAGGATTTTGTTTGTTTCAAGGCCATAAGCCGGGGGGGACAAAATGTAATTCACCCTTACTTCAAAAACAAAAGAAAAGACAAACAACTGGACAATCATTGTCCTTGGAATTAATAGAAAGGTTAATGCAAACGGAGAGGATTACCAGAATGACTTTATTTTATTAATGTTCATTAGTGTAGTGATCATTTTTTTTTCAATGACCAAAAGCAAGACTTTGCCCTGGTTTAGTGATCATTCTGGCAGTCCACTCTTGTTTTTTTTTTTTTTCGGTTATAGTTGGATGTTTCCCTTGCATCACTAATTATTCAGTCTCTTGTACCAAAACCATAATTTGCAAACTCGCGATCCTGGATCGTAGGATCGGACGATCCTACGATCCCAGATAGCTAAATCGATCCTTAATCGATCAAACTCGAATTTAGTAATGGGATCAGAGTGGGATCGGTCAGGATTGATCAGGATCGTACAAGATCATGCAGGATCGTAGGATCGGTCCGAGTTTATTATTTATCAATTATAAAAAATTAATTGAACTTATGGAGATTTTTCTTTTCACTTATTTCTTTTGGTTCATATTCAAATGAGGCTAATATTATTTGAGGAAACTTTTATTGCTAAGAAAAATATATTTTAAAAAAATTTTCTAATAAAATGAAAAGAAGAACTATAAAAGAAGAGTTTTTATTAAAAAATTATCTAAAAACTCATATAAGAAAATTGAATTTACACATTTCTTTTAGTTTAAATGTTAAATACTTTATGTAAAGATAATTGAAACTTATCTAAATAATTAATTATTATAATATGTATAGTTAATTTTACGATCTTACTATTTCGATCCTACCGATCTCATTTAAAATCCGATTCTATGATCCCATTTCGATTTTACGTAGGATCACAATCCTGCAAACATTGACCAAAACTATTACTTACTCTCTCTCTCTCTACTACTACAACTACTTCATTAATAAAGGCTTTTATTTTCTGTTGAACTTATAGATAGTTTAATCTAAAGAAATTTTCTTAGACATCAATATTGCTCATCACTATTAATGCTGAACCTGTTAATGGAAATTTAAGTTCATAATGAATTGGACTTTTGTGGGTTTTTTGTAATTCCTGATAATTACTCAGTAGAGAAAATTAAGGATTTCATAATTTATAAGAAGAATGGCAAAGCGGGAAAGTTGACCAGAAATGATGACATTATTTTTGGGACATTCTTTTATAGCAACTAAATATCCCTGCGTAGGATGTGTCATCGTAAGAGCAATTCGCAGTGGTTTGTAACTGGTCTAAAAACTTGTGTTAGTTAGCCCCCAATTTATTGGGGAGAGTTAAAAAGTAAAGAAGTGTTCTCTCTGCATTTACGTGTTAAATTCTGGAAAAAAAAAAAAGTGAATAATGGTGGGCTAGAAGTGTTGCATGAACAAGAATGAAGATACAAAGGAAATAAAAAAGACAACCATAAATGAGTCCACAATTGTTTCAAATCCGGTAATTTTTATAGGCTATGAAAATTTGATGTAGCATCGTCTGGGACTACTTTTTTACTCGACCTATTACGGTTGTTCTAAGTGGAGTTCAGTGCGGTTAGTTTATCAAACTCAAAAAAAAAAAAAAGTTTAGTGGGATTTATTGAATTGAAACCCTCTATGAGTTGAGAAATCGAAAAATCAGCATATATGTAAATAGATCGCATGATTATATCCCTACTGTCGCACAGCTGTAGCCTGTAGAATATTAAAAAGTGAATGTTTTGAGGTTACTCGCATTTTGGCGTTACATAAATTCCTTTTTTTTTATAAAAAAAAATACTAAAAAGGAGAGAGGTTTGTAGAATTACTTGACAATTGGAGTCTAGGAATGCAAACCTGTACTTGAGCTTTAAAATATAAAAATAATAATGCATAAAAGGAAAAAAAA